CACTAGCTTCAGTTGTCATAGCGTCACAGAAACCAGGATCAAGAGTTAGCATTAACTTGTCACTATTGATGAGTCCTTTCCCCTCATTAGGTAGTTCTGTGTACTGATGGACTAGCTAATGTTGGTCTTGGAAGTCTTGATGGTATGTGATTGATGATCTGTTGGAAATTAATCCTTTTTATTACACAGTTGCTGGTGGCGGTAAAGCTTATGCCAGTGCTGAGAATTTCTATGAAGACCTTGGTGACATTGCTATGGATAAAGGGTACACCTGGTGTCTCTTTACATTAGATGATTGTCTTTCATTTTTTGTAGTGTAACAGTCAACTTTTTATCAATCAAAGGGACCGACTGTAGAGTAGCTGAGTTAGGTCAAGTAGCTACTAGAACAGGAGGTGAAGTCACCATAGTGGATCCACTGACAGTCACTGAAGAGTTTGGTAGTATATTGAGTAATCCTGTTATAGCTACTGACGTTGTGACTAAGATTATAGTGCACAATGGAATGTAAGCTGTTAAATACATTAACACATTATGTATGTATTTGTAGGTATTTTCGTACTGAAGACTCAAAAGAGAATGTTGTAGTGAAGCAGGTTGGTAATGTCACTGCTGATAGTGAACTCACTTTTGATTACGGAGTCCGCAAAGCACAAACCACACCTCCAACAGAATCACCAAAAGATGGTGGTGATGATGGGAATTCAAAAGGTACCATAGTGTTTGTGTGGTATTATCATGATTGTACTCTTCCTCAGAGAGCAGTGATGGAGGAGCTGCTACAGGAGCTAGTGCCTCAAGTGATACAGTCCCTCCTCAGATGATTGATGGTCAGCCTCACTTACCATTCCAGCTGCAAATAGAATACACTAATTCTGATGGTGACCGCTGCCTTAGAGTAATAACTAAAGCAAAACCAATAACTACTGATAGATTAAAGGCCGAGCAAGGTACTAACAATATTTTCTGCTTTTTATTTTCTTTTTGAAAATCAGAAATGGATGCTGGTATTATTGGTACTCATGTTGCTAAGCAAGCTGCTGATCTAACTATGCAGGGAGAGTTCACTCAGGCACGAGTCAAGTCACTGGCTACGCAGAGACTCCTTCAGAAGCACAGGTATTACCACTCCCTTCCTATTATTTGTATTTTGATTTTGATTTCTTGCAGTAAATCAAGTGCAAGTCGTAGATGGGAATACACCAACTGGTGCAGTAACATGATACCACTGGAGAGGGAACTCCATAGGATGCAAGTGAGCGAGAGGAGCTCAGGAAGAAACCTCAGCGATGACGAAGATGAGTTTTACGAACGAGGCTCTGAGCTAATGGGTACCTCTTATGCTGCTCCTTCCAAAAGAAACTACACTACTCCTGCGTTTACTTCGAGTGCACCAGCTCCACAACAAGCTCCAAAAGTAATGATGATAAATTTCCAATTATATTATTATTCATAATGTGCATTAGATGAGAAAGTCTAAAGAAGCTCATCGAAGGAGAGACATATCTGATGATTTGGCATTAGGAGTCTATGGATTGAAGGTATTGCTTGTTTATAAGATCAGCCAGAACTTAATTGTTATTTAATTTCTCTCATTGTAGAAAGCTTCGTCCAGCGCTTTCAAAGCTGCTCCACCAAGATCTGCTAGTCATCAAGTTAAACCTCCCTCTGTGCCAAAGCCCCTTCCTCCTCGTGCTGTTACCATAGCAGTTGTGCCACAGAGCCAGAAAGATGATGAGACAAAAGAGAAAGAAAAGCCAAGCGAGAAGAATGAGGACTAAGACGAGTCAAGAACAATGGCAGAATTTTTTATTGTGCTTGTAGTTTTTATTAATAGTTTTATGATCTTTTGTGTGTAGTATAGTAACCTGAATGTTTCCATTACAGCATAGTGCATTCCTAGTGCATTGCCTGGGCGTGTCGAAACTGCTCCTTCCTTTGTTCTGTTTCTTTCCCGGTTCCCTAGCAATGTCTTTTGCTCTTGGTAGTAAGTATGTGTATCATGGAGAATCAGAGGAAGAGGTTATTCCTCAGAGAGCTCTTGATGAAGGAATGTGGGCCAGTGATGATGACGATGATGATGATGAATTTGACCTGAGGACAATACGAGCTGTTCCCAGCACTGCACCACCACAAGCATCACGAACACGTAGTGGGTTCTGGGGGTCCTTTATAAATAAAGTAAAAAGGAAAACAACGCGTAGAAAGAGCAAAGCACCTTCTCTCAAAGCAGCGTAAGCCACAAACACTTCATTCATAATTAGACCATTTTACCATAGCATAATATCAAGAGTACATAATATTAGGTACTCTTGATAATATTGGTGTAGTGTGGGCCAGTTACATAATATGTTAATTTTAGTGTAGCCTATTCTTCTGTTATTGTTTGTTCTATATTTAGTAACGACAAGTCGTCAAGTGAAAGTGAAGAGGAAGAAGTGAGAGTAAAGCCTCCTAAAACGTGAGTCATGAATTATTATATCAGCTATTAATAATAATGATGCTAATTTATAATACAGTGATGATGGAAATGTAGATTATTCTGAGATACAGCATTCGCCACCAGAAGATCCTGAACCAACGTAAGCCAGTCTGATTAAATGTGTGGGAGTTATAAATATAGAATCACTACATGTACTGCATTGGATGTAGTATTTCTATTACTGCTCTCTATTTGTTGCTGTAAACAATCTGACAAGAAATAATTCCCCTAGTCTACATGTAATTGAAGCTGATAGCCTGATACTAGAGAATGATAATGCATTATTAATAATTGTCATAACACATTCCTTACATTGTGTAATAATACCAATCATGTGAAATGAATCCTCCTCCTCTTACATTGTATATTCTCCTCTTCCTTCACAGACCATCAGTTGCATCTGTTACTGCCATAGCTTCTCCACCTTCTCCAAAAAGGAAAATAAAAAAGCAAAAAAGGCAGAGACTCAGATGGAACAAATCTGGTATAAAAATTATACATTTTCACTTTTGAGAGTTAATTGAGGTTTCTTCTGATTAGGTTCTATATCAAAAGGCGTTAAAACTAGACGTGCCGACACTAATATTCTAGCTGTTCAGTTCAACCAGTTGAGAGAGGCAGGGCACATACACACAGGAGATGCACAGTTTTGTTCTAATCCTAACTGTGGAGCTGTTGTTAGTCACTTGACTAAACTGATTGGAGAAGAAGATGCTGAAAAGAGAGTTAGTCTATTATATGGTGAACCTTATCTCTCTTTCTGTTTCTTCTAGGTATGGAATTGTGAGTACTGTGGTACAGCAACTGAGGTTGATATTGTAAATGAAGAGATACCAACAGAAGAGGATACAACTTACCTCATTACTCCTGCTTCTATAATGGCCGCTAAAGGAGGAGCCCCTATAGCAATGGATGAATCACTAGTTGTATTTTGTATTGATACTTCTGGCAGTATGTGTGTTACTACAGAGGTAAATGAGTTTGTTTTTATTTTCATGGCTATCATTATTTAACTTGATGCCTTCATGTAATTTTGGCAAAATTTTGCCAAAAATGGCAAGGAGAGAATTCTCTATTTTTAAAATTTTTTCTGATGTACGTACATGTTTTTATATTGTATTTTAAGTTTGAGACGATTCCAATCAAAATTGGATTTTTTACAAATTTTTAAAGTCGCTCCAAAATTGGTTCAAAGTCCCTGTACTATAGTACAGCGATTTTGGCCAAATTTGGCCAAAAATGGCAAGAAGAGAATTTTCCATTTTTATAATTTTTTCTGATGCGTATATATATTCTTATGTTGTGTAGAAAGTTTGAGATGATTCCGATCAAAATTGAATTTTTTATGAATTTTTAAAGTTGCTTCAAAATTGGGTCAAACTATATAGTACAGGGTATTCCTTCAAGAATGGCCAGGAAATTATTTTTTCATTATTATTCTGAATTCATGCTAATTTTATGTACAAGTTTTACTCAGCCTAATAGTACCAACTATTTTTATATAATATTAATAAAGTATTAGTGTAAGAACATTTCTTTCCTCAGGTTCCTGGTCAATACAAGATACGTGGAGCAAAGGAAAGAGAAGAAAAGTTGCTCCAAAGTCTCCCAACTAGCATTGCCCATGACCTCCGTCAACCGGAACACAGGATAAGGCAAGGGACACTGGCCAATTCGACTTACATATCAAGAATGGAGAGTCTTCAAGCAGCTGTAGATACTCATTTATCAAAGCTGGTCCACTCTGAGCCTAATAAAAGAGTATCAATAGTTACATTCAGTGATGATGTATGTTAGTATATTAATAATGGAGTTATTGTTTGTGTGTAGGTTACTATAATGGGTGATGGTAGGATGGTACCTGTAACTATCGCTGGTGATAAACTGTCTGATAGTAAAGCTGTCATTGATAGCGGAAAAGAAATACCACTACCTTCTACTATACGTGAAACTCAGAAAGCTTTATCAAAGAAGATATACAGGTAATGTAAGAATAAGTGGTGGTATGATTGTCAGTATTCATTATAGTTTGGAGGAGTCTGGTCAGACTGCTTTAGGACCAGCTGCACTAGCTTCAGTTGTCATAGCATCACAGAAACCAGGATCAAGAGTTAGCATTAACTTGTCATTATTGATGAATCCTTTCTCCTCATTAGGTAGTTCTTTGTACTGATGGACTAGCTAATGTTGGTCTTGGAAGTCTTGATGGTATGTGAATACACTTAATGAATCAATGATGATATCTAATCCTCTAGTTGGCCGTAGTAGTAAAGCTTATGTCACTGCTGAGAATTTCTATGAAGACCTTGGTGACATTGCTATGGATAAAGGGTTAGCTGTACACCTGGTGTCTCCTTATAATTACTATCTTAATTACAGTGTAACTGTTTCACTATTGACCATCAAAGGGACTGACTGTAGAGTAGCTGAGTTAGGTCAAGTAGCTACTAGAACAGGAGGTCAAGTCACCATAGTGGATCCACTGACAGTCACTGAAGAGTTTGGTAGCATATTGAGTAATCCTATTATAGCTACTGACGTTGTTACTAAGATTATAGTGCACAATGGAATGTAAGCTGTTAAATACATTAAGTGTATAGATACACATTATGTATGTATTTGTAGGTATTTCCGTACTGAAGACTCAAAAGAGAATGTTATAGTGAAGCAGGTTGGTAATGTCACTGCTGATACTGAGATTACATATGAATACGGAGTACGAAAAGTGACAGATAAACCTTCAAAGAAACTGTCGGTACAGCCAAAGATCAAAGAGGAAAAGGAAGAGGAAGATGATGAAGGAGACATAGTAAAGTCTAAAGGTTTGCCAATAAATAAACATGATACTTGATGAATTAATCTCATTATTTGTAGGAGATAAAAGTGGTGCCTCTCCTTCAAGTGATGGGGGAGTCCCTCCTCAGATGATTGACGGTCAACCTCACTTACCATTCCAGCTGCAAATAGAATACACTAATTCTGATGGTGACCGCTGCCTTAGAGTAATAACTAAAGCAAAACCAATAACTACCGATAGAGTAAAGGCTGAGAAAGGTACTAGCAACATTAAACATACTTAGCTGAAAACATTACTTGTTGTAGAAATGGATTCTGCAATTATTAGTAGCCATGTTGGGAAGAAAGCTGCAGAACTCACTATGCATGGAGAGTTCACTAAAGCTCGTGTGTCCTCTCTTGCATCACAGAGAATGTTACAAGAGCACAGGTAAATATTACACACTTTTTTACTAATACATTACAGCTAGTATATACATGTACATTTTAAGTAGTAGCAGATGTATTGGGTTGTGGATCTGTGCCATTGGGAGTTGAGATTGCTCTCTGATGTGGCCAATCTTAACCTAGACTTCATTTATAATTTAATAAGATTTGTTTATATTACACTAGAGGGAATTGATTGTTAGCAAATTGACTCTTGATTTCTAGTCGTACCAGCACCGAGAGGAGGAGGCAGTACAATAATTTCTGTGATCGATTGGTTCCCCTTGAGAACGAGCTTCATAGGATGCAGCTGTCTGAAAGGAGCAGAGGGCGAAATCACAGTGACAATGAAGAAGAGTATCAATTAGGCTCTGATTTAATGTCCACATCATATGCTCAGCCTAGCAGATCATCTCATATACACTCAAGTGGAAGCAGTGCTGTCAATCATTCATCAGTAAGTCTTTAACATACTAGAGTAATGAGGATAGAGGGTGCTAGAGGGTTAAGGACTATATTCATTGTTTCTTTAATCTAGTCAAGATCAGCAAGGGAGATGTTTAGGCGACAAGAGATGCCCGACGAGTTGGCACTGGATGTTTATAGATTATGTGTAAGTAATCATATTTCAAGTACTGTGACCTTCATTCTCTTTACTCTCTTTCATTGCAGACTGATTCCAGTACCTCTTATAACTTATAAATTGAACTAATCTTAGTTTAGAGTTATTGTTATTTATAAAGTTTTATTATCATTTTTTTTACTTTTATTTATATTTTTGTGATTTTTATGTATTATTCCTGTGAAATGTTCCTGCTCCCATTCCATATGATTTAAATGTCTTTCTTTTGGATTTCTTTTTAAATATTTCAAGTGCTTCCGGCTCTATCTCTCCTCCACTACAAGTACCAGTTCCTCCTTCTAGTGATATACCAGCAAGAGCACTGGCTAATTTTTGAGGATCTTCTAATCCACCTTGTTGTTCCCCTTTTATTAAATCTTCTTCTCTTCTTTTTTCACGACGAGATGACCTCCATATCTCACTGGTAATATGCTCAATAGAGTCTAGCACACCGAGCTTGTCTGCCATGCACAATGACTGAGCAAACTCCCAACGCAATCGAAGGAGTGAACTATCATACTCTCCATCCTTGATTAGAATAAAAGAGAAATGAGTAAAAAGAGATCATATAATCCTGTACATACAGATTCATTGATGGAGTATGCTTCAATGGAGCAGCTTCCCCCAGTAAGAGTTGAGCTCACAGCTTGCCTAATGGCTGATAGTGGTATCCACCTGATTAAAAACACACTCAGCACAATACAAGTTCTGATATTCCCCTACCTCATTGCATTCACTTCAAGCTCTTCATCATTAGCTAGTTTCTTTACAGCTTCAGATGCAAAGCGACCAGGATAATGATCGAAATGAACATGAAGGAAGTGTCCAACGTAATGACAAGTCTCATTTACTACCTAGTATGATTAAAATCATTATTATTCAATACATTACAGACTATTGTGACCAGTCATTGATACATGTCACTGAATATGTCTAGTATAATCAACATGTAATTCCAAAGACATGAAAGCTCACATCACACATGCATCAATCACAGTTACAATGTGAGAGAACTTCATATTGATGCATCTTACTTTAAAAGTGTTGGTTACAGTATAACTTCGGAGCGACTCCAACAAGTCTTTGCTTGTTCCTAAGACCCCGAGAGTCTCTTCGCAACACTCTCTGGCTGCAGTCTCGGATGGGGTCTCATTCCTAACATTATCATTAAAAGACGTCACACAATGCATTTAATAATTACTTGAATATGGATTTGGATGTCAGACCTCCAAAATCACACCAGGTCCCACCATCATATGTCAACTGCCCCACAAGGAAGATAGCCTCACCAGTCAGAGGGTGAATTGAGTATGGTAAGATACCGGCTGCTTCAAATCCTCTGATGCTTGATTGGTATGACGCATGATCATGGAGTTCTCTGACTGTCACTGAAGCCTGAGGCGGTTCAGTCAAGCATCGTATAAAGCTCTTTTGTCCGGTACTTTTATTAAAGAGAGAACCCTCAACAAAATCAATGAGTACATCACCAATAGTTAGACGAGTGTTGAGTGGGTCTTTCCTGAAGGATTCTTCCATTTGGGCGTTTAATGGCCCCGGGAGCGGACTCCATTCTCGACAGGTTGTTATGATTCTTAGTTGTTGGATATTCTCAAAACTTTTCTTATGCCGTGAGAATTTTGAGACGCTCGGCAACTGTTGCCATTGGCAGCCAATGGTCGCTGGCAGAGGAAAGGCTGTGTGCATTCTTGTTACTTTGAGCTCGTCCAAAGGCGGAGAATAATAATAATGATCATAGAGTTTCTCGACAAAAGAAGGACTGAGACAGATTCCATTGGGGCAAGAAATACCCACGACAAGCGAGTGAAGCGTCTTAGAGTTTCGATGAGAAGAATTCGAGGAGATCTTGCTCTCGATTGAAGTGATGATGTCATGTAGTGCTTTCATTGACTGCCTTTGACAGAAAATCCACTCAATCAATAACCTATGAACAATAAAAAGAAATTAATAAAGACTATAATCAGGCAACCCATAAATAGTAGCTATAAGCAGCTAGTCTATGTCTTAGTATCTTTCTTCTTCTAAAGCATACCTGTCTTTCAGAGAGCATACTACTCGGCTCCTCTTCCAAGGATAAACGGTTGCTGGCTGAGAGAGTAAGCGGTATTTATTCAGTTGTATGTGTATGTCAGGATTGATACTGGAGGCAATACATCCTTCAGTTCCAGAGACCAGTGATAACTCCATTCAGAGAGGTACACGTTAGTCTATTATATCGCTGATTCAGAGCATAGAGAAAAGGGAAGATCCCGGTAAATGCCGCGAAGAGAAAAATATAGAAAATGAGAAATAGGCGTGGCTATGGTAGTAAAAATTGTATTTCTACATTGAACAAATTAAAATTTGATTAATTGTATTTAATTTTGGATTGGTTAAATGTGACCTAGCAGTCACAGATTTATACAATGATTGTAGATCGACACATATAAAAATAATGTGGGTGGGTTAAAAATAATAATCTCAAGCTTGCATTAATCCGAGTTCATGTAATGTCTCATATTAATCTCCCAGCTCCTTTCCTTCCTCAGTGCCTTCTCCCTCTCTCTCTTCGTCTTAGGCTCACTCCCTCTCTCTCTCTGTAGCCTCCAGTGACGATTCCTTACAGCCCTGACGTCACCAGGAGAAAAATGAGTCACTCTTGGTTTCTGGGATTTACCGCTGCTGACTCCAATCCCTCGTCTGTCTTGTTTTAAAACAGTCTTCACGGGATACTTATGACCTTGGCCGGTGCTTCCTAGGCCTCTCTCGGGGTCCCAGCCTTTACGTAGCATCATTTGAAACCCTTTGTTACCCTCGGGGAGCGAGTATGAGTGTAGATTAGGCTTGTGTTGACAGTTGAATTGATGTAGAGTAGACACACTGTGATCATTAGGGGTTTCCATTATATCTGTTTGACACATTTCACAATAATAACAACGACCCAATTCTGAGTCTTCGTTAATAATTTCCTCATCTTCTTCTCCCTCTGTCTGATATGTTCTGATATATTCCGCTAGCTCAATATTACCAGTTTTCTCAGCAATTTTAGGTGCATCTAGACCACACCTATCAACCACGCCCTTCCACAAAGCTCCGTTACTCAACAAATAGTCAACAATACTTGTATGACCAGCACATGATGCACACATTAGCAGCGACCAGCCATAGGCATCCTTCATGTTGACATCATGTTCAGAAGTGTCCGAAAAACCTTTGGAAAGACTCTCCAGGTCTCCTTCTTGTACAAACTTGAACATGTCGATTTTTGAAAAAGCTTTAGTTGGTTTACTGTTAGGAGCTTTATTTATTTTCATTGTGTCACTGGGCGGGGCTTGATGGTTCGGTGGTGGTATTTCTCTTGTTGAGTGTGTATTGGATGAGGTAGACTGAATGAGATTATCATAAAAGTCTTTTGCTTCATCTCCGTTTAGTCTGGAAGGAGGGGGAACAGGGGAAGAAGAAGGAGAGGGTTTTTGTATTGTGTCTCTTTGTTGGGTCTCTAGCTCTTGGTTTTTACCTCTAACGAAGGATATGGCTTTACTCTCGTCGAATGGGATGGTTCTGTTGAGTATTTTTGCCGTGTAATTTGTATAAAATGCTTCCATTTGCTTGAAAACGTCGCTAGGATCAGAAGTGATGTCAGCCATGATTCGGTGTTAAAGTTAACCCTTTGCAAACAACGATGAATAAACTCGTTTGCCATGTGGAATCACGTGTTTCAAGAATACGATTGTGAATTGCCGAATACGGACAAAATGGCGCCACACTTCAGACGTTTTGGAAGACAATATTTACTCTGATGAGGTCTCAAGAAGGACATACATTAAAGAAAATTTTAGGTTCATTTTTTAGCTTTCTTTCCAAGATCTTTTACAGCAAGATCTAGAGCATAAAAATATTTATTTAAAAGAAAAGTTGCTAAACACAATTTATCTCACCAGGAGGAAGAGACTGTCTTAGCTTATCTGCCTTTTCGTTATCCATTACTACTAGCGTATACAAATATCGAGAGCATCGGACTTTAAATTTCACTTTGTCCTTTGATTTCATTATTTTCACAGCTAATTAATGAAGTAAAAGAATTTTAAAATGATACACATTCATAAAATATTAACTAGAGACTCACATTTAGCATCCTTTCTTCTACAAGTAAGTAGAAAATCTTTAATCTCTGCTATCTGCTTTGGCTATTTGACAGTATAACTAATAATAAAAAGGCATTAAAAATAGGTAAACTTACCATTATCTTTTCTTCTCACCCTGAAATAATAAAATATAAATAAGAATATCGGTTATAATATAAAGTGGTAAAAAAATTTATACAGAAAAAGGAGATTTAAGAAGATTAAGAACTCACCTCCTATTGATAATGGCGTCTACACGAGGTTATGCAAATCAAGAAAGAGGCAGACCATATGGGCGTGGTTTAGTAGCAAATGAGCCCCACCCTTTCTGCCTGCACTGACGCACAATGGGTAAGTTGCTTTTCTTGAAAACATAACATTTTATTCTCTTTGTGCAGCTTTAGAAACAAAGCAGTCACGGAGAGCAACTGCAAGAAAGAAAACAGAACAACATTCTCCGTCATCTTCTCCATGGATTCTGGCTAAACCGACAAACTATGTAGCTACATTGCCTTTGATGCACAAACCAGTTCAAACTTTAGAGACAAGAAAGACGAGAAGGGAGAGAAAGAAGCAAGGCAGAGGTCCCGAGTCTCCTCACTTGAAGCTCTCAAGAAATCCACTCGTTAATTCTTACCCCTCTCCTTCCCAATCATCTCTCACCCGGACTCTTCCACCAAATCTCTCGCCGGCAGACTTCGTTAGAAGCTCTCCACAAACACAGAGGCACTCACCATTCCAAAAACACTCCCCATTAAACAAAAAGTCACCATCGAATCGGGACTCACCATTGCAAAAGCATTCACCTTTGCAAAAGAATTCGCCACTACCTCCAACTAAGAATACTCCACAAGTAGTTGACGATGATATAAAAGTTGAACCTCAACCAGTTGTCAATGGGTATGATGAACCAAAACCTCCTTCTACTCTACCAATTGAAAATGCACAAGAAACCCCTCAAAACACTCTAAGGGGGAGACCGCACATTTCAAGTCCTCAGTCGACAAGAAGTAAAATATTTTTTTCTTTTTTTTACTTGTTCAAAAAATTTTTAGTGATGACATCTAAGACACCAATGCCAAGTGATGAAGTTTTAAATATCCTCTTTGACAAGCTACTGGTAGACAATCATTTGACAATGCTTTTATTAGTCATGTATGTATGTGCTTATCTCTTGTAGGACCAACTGAATCTTACTCCAGAGAAAGTGGCTGAGATGAATAGTATGAGCCCACAGCAAAAATGGAGTCTCATTTTAGCACAGGTATCCACATGCTTGCATCACATGTTCTTAATTAACTGTCACAAATAGCGTGAGACAAATGCCGGTCTTAGCTGCATGTACTACATTGAGCAGCTAGTCCGTCATTCACAACCAGCTTTGAAAGAGAAGAAAGTGAAAAGGAAACTGCTAGACAAACTCCATCCACTTGGTAAAGTCCTCAAGGAACTTGAAGTGGAACTAAGGACTAATGCTGAAGGGTACGGAATATTTTAAGAGCATTAAAAAAAGATTTTATATAATATTTCTAGCTGGATTGATAATTTTGTAGCCTCTCCTAATCACGGACATATTGCTTTGATTGACCTGCTAAAGGATTTAATTCAATATCCGAGTCTTTTAAACACAACACAAAAGATCTCTATCCTTCAAAGGAGTCCAGTAAGATATCCTCTTGATACTAGCCATTCATAATTTCATTGTTATGCATAGTCTTGTGTTCATACTTCATTAACCTGTGTGAAGGCTTTGATGAGTAACAGAGTAAGTAAACTGTAGTAGCATTGATGTTTGAATTTAATTTGTTTCTTTGCTAATGTTTAGAGTGGATTTACTGCTGTCTTTAATTATGCACCAAGTGTCTTTGTCATTACACATTGCATTTCATTTCCGCACCATAAAACAAAGACACTTGTCCTCAAAGTAAGCATTTGACGCATTCTTTCTGACAATAAAACTCGTACAGTTACTTATTCTAGTACTCCTGGTTCCGAGTGGGCCTCAGAAAATCCTGCAAGCTTTTGAGCACTATAGGAGAGTCAAGGGAGAGAAGAATAGGTTTGAAATACTTGTTAATTCAATGTTTCAGGAGCCCATGGCACCTTCTTACCAAGTCAGCTAATCTTTATTATTTTATTGACTGATCATTTGATAGGCTGAAGTGCTGCGGTTTATAAATACAGTTGTACAGGCAGGAGATGGGCCTAATGCCCGCATTTTTCATCAGCAGGAATTCCTCAATGCAGGGCTTGACATTAAAACAATAGAGCAGGTAGGTTGATGGCATTGCTGACTTCATAGCATCACTTTAATTATGTTGGGCAGACACTTGAATGTGAACCGGATGAAAAACTGATGCATGAATTAAAAGAATGGAAGAAATCTTTTACCGACGTACAGAAACTAACTGATGAGTTATTGATCGCTAGAGGCAGAGCAAATGGACTCAAACAAGAGGTAAGCAATAGCACTTGATATGATTATTAATGATCCTCTCTTCCACAGCTTGACATGACGTTAAAATCACTCAGACAAACCAAGATTGAGAGAGATAGCTATTATGATCATTTGTTAAAGGTATAAGGAAGCATTTATGTGCGTGCAAAATTTTAAAAATATTTATAAAGATGCAAGATAAAAGTAAGCAGCAAGATAATAGAGTAAAAACAATGACTGATGAAATCACAAATTTGACTGTAAGAATAATAATATGCATTTATAGAAGTAATGTAACTGTCTGTGTCTCTTACAAAGGATGAGCAACATGAAAGGAGCTACATGGTCAAACAAATAAAACAATTGCAGGAAGTCAATCAGCACTATCGTCAACAAACGTCTCAATTAAGAAATAAGATAGAAGAGTCAATGGTAAGCAAAACTTAAGCAACTTTAAATTTTTTTAAATTTTTTTGATTCTTCAATTTAAATTTTAAATTTTTATTTTTATTTATTTTTATTCTTAATTTTATTTTATTTTAATTTTTAATTTAATTTAATTTTTTTAATTTAATTTATTTTAATTTTTATTTAATTTTTTTATTCTTACATTTTAATTTCTTAATTTTTTAACTTTTTCATTTTATTTTATTTTTTAAATTTATTAATTTTTAATTTTTATTTATTTTTTTTTTAGAAAAAAAATTTTATTATTTTCAATTTTTCATCTATTCTTTATTTTATTTTATTTTTTATTTTTTTAAATTTCTTATTTTATTTTAATTTTTATTATTATTAATTTTATTATTTATTTTAATCTAACTTAACTTTATTTTATTCTATTTTCACAACTTAAGATTATCCTGCTCTTAATATTATTATTATTTGTTTTTCTGTGTGTCTAACAATAATGTTTAAATTTCAATAATACAAAAATTCATTGCCTGTTTCATAATTCATTTTTAATAAAAATTAATTAGCAGCAATTCATTTCCTGTTTCATAATTCATTTTTAATAAAAATTAATTAGCAGCAATTCATTTCCTGTTTCATAATTCATTTTTAATAAAAATTAATTAGCAGCAATTCATTTCCTGTTTCATAATTCATTTTTAATAAAAATTAATTAGCAGCAATTCATTTCCTGTTTCATAATTCATTTTTTACTAAAAATTAATTAGCAGCAATTCATTTCCTGTTTCATAATTCATTTTTTACTAAAAATTAATTAGCAGCAATTCATTTCCTGTTTCATAATTCATTTTTTACTAAAAATTAATTAGCAGCAATTCATTTCCTGTTTCATAATTCATTTTTTACTAAAAATTAATTAGCAGCAATCTATTTCCTGTTTTATAATTCATTTTTACTAAAAATTAATTAGCAGCAATCTATTTCCTGTTTCATAATTCATTTTTAATAAAAATTAATTAGCAGCAATCCATTTCCTGTTTCATAATTCATTTTTAATAAAAATTAATTAGCAGCAATCCATTTCCTGTTTCATAATTAATTTTTAATAAAAATTAATTAGCAGCAATTCATTTCCTGTTTCATAATTCATTTTTTAATAAAAATTAATTAGCAGCAATCTATTTCCTGTTTCATAATTCATTTTTAATAAAAATTAATTAGCAGCAATTCATTTCCTGTTTCATAATTCATTTTTAATAAAAATTAATTAGCAGCAATTCATTTCCTGTTTCATAATTCATTTTTTAATAAAAATTAATTAGCAACAGCTCACTTCCTATTTCACAATTTTTAAATATTGTTTTATTTTTATTTTTTTTAATAAAAAAATTTAATTTTTATTTATTTAATTATTTATTATTTATTCTATTTAATTTTTTTTAATTTTTTAATCTTTTATTTTATTGTTTTGTTTAAAAAATTTTTTCAATTTTTTAATTTTATTCTAATTTTATATTTTTTAATTTTTTTAATTTTTATTCTTTAATTTAATTTTATTTTTTTAATTAAGAATTATTTTATTTTATTTTTCTATTTCTTTAATTTTTTGTTCAATTTTTGAGCAACTTTAAGAATTCATTAAAAAATCTAAATTTAATCAAAATAAGTTCAAACTTTTTATGCAACATAATTACATGTACTGTATATGCATTGAAAAAATTATTAAAATGGAGGATTTTTTGCTTTTCATTTTTGACGAAATTTGGCCAAAATACCTGTACTATAGTACAGGGTCTCAGGCCAAATTTTACCAAAATTGTCAAGGAGAAAATTCTTCATTTTTATAATTTTTTCTGATGTATATGCATGTGCTTAGGTTGTGTTTCAAGTTTGAAATGATTCTAATCAAAATTAGATTTTTTATGAGCTTTTAAAGTTGCTCCAAAATTGGGCCGAAGTCCCTGTACTATAGTACAGGGTCTCGAGCCAAATTTTGCCAAAATTGTCAAGGAAGAAATTCTTCATTTTAATAATTTTTTCTGATGCATATGCATGTGCTTAGGTTGTGTTTCAAGTTTGAGATGATTCCGATCAAAATTAAATTTTTTATGAATTTTTAAAGTTACTCTAAAATTGGGCCGAAGTCCCTGTACTATAGTACAGGGTCTCGAGCCAAATTTTGCCAAAATTGTCAAGGAAGAAATTCTTCATTTTTATAATTTTCTCTGATGCATATACATGTGCTTAGGTTGTGTTTCAAGTTTGAGATGATTCCGATCAAAATTAGATTTTTTATGAGCTTTTAAAGTTGTTCCAAATGCCATGTTTTAGTTTAGCATGCTTTGCCAATTTTGGAACAATTATAAGATTAATAAAAAATCCAATTTTGATAAAAATAAGCTCAAACTCTCTACTTTCTGCTTTCTACACTGTACAATCATTATGTGTTTTTATGATTCATTACAACCATAGGGCCAAGAAGCATTACAGGATATAGATATCATAGACCCATCATTTGAAATACAAGATCAAGTCACTGCCTTCAAGAGCTACACAACATCAACAATAGCCACTCAGACGATCGGCTCCACGAGTGATCTGACCGACGGAATGCTCCATGAAGGAGAGGCAGAACAAGAGGCGTTACCTGTACCAGAGCCTCCTCCATTACCACCCAACATTCCTGCACCACCCCCACTACCAAGTATAGCATTTGTTACAGTATCAGTTAATCCATTGTAATGTATTGTAGATGTGCCTTTACCTCCACCACTTCCTGGAATGAACACATCATTGAGAAAGCCTTACATTACTAATCTACCACTGCCTACATTGAACTGGGTTCCTTTGAGAAATACAAATGATACCATATTTGATGTGAGTTGATGACTATACAGTGTGTGCGTGTGTGTGTGTGTTTATGCTTGTATAAATTGTTTTTAATTCAAATTCCTTATTAGGGCATGGACGATAATCACGTTATTGAGGAGATTGATTTCTCAGAATTTGAGACGTTATTTCAAGTGCCACGTTTCAAGTCAAAAGAAGTAAAAACTCAACCAGTCAAGAAGCAAGTCGAACTCTTTGACTCAAAGCGAACTAGAGGCATCCGTAAGAGAACAAATAACTATATTATTAATAATTATTAATATGATATTATTATTATGAATTAGTGTTTGCTAAGCGGCGAGTGAGAAAAGAGCCTGAAGTTATATCTGAGATGATATCGAATGTTGATTTGGATGGTCTGATAACAGAGCACTGTGAGCTATTGATATCAATTGTACCACAAGAAAGTGAAGTGAGTGTACATGCATATATGATGCAGCAATATGATTTAATTATATTACAGAGGGAGACACTAGCTAAAAACGCTAGCGATTATGAAACATTTGGGGAAGCAGAGCAGTTCCTTTATCAAGTAAAATAATCATTTGCTATTTGTAATTTTATTTTGATTTTTTCAGCTTGCCAAAATACCACGTCTTGAAGAAAGACTAGGAGTGATGTCATTCATGGGAGGCTTTGACGAGATCTTATTACAAACTCAACCGGTAGGCTTAGTCATAATGATAACACTGCTATTGAAACTCTTATCCTCTAGAGGATTGATGCTGTATTGAATGCTTCACTCTCAATACACAGAAGTTCAAGATTAAAGAAAGTCTTTGAGGTACATAACCACAGTGATTATTATTATTATTAGTGATTATTATTATTATTAGTGATTATTATTGTTGTTATGTTGTTGTTCAGGTTATCCTTGCATTTGGTAACTACATGAACAGCAGTAAGAGAGGGACAGCGACTGGTTTTAAATTGGCCTCATTGGAGAGAGTAAGAGCTACTGTATTGTAGTTCTAGTATATAGCACACTTTGTTTCAGCTTTTAGACACTAACTCAACTGACAAGAAGCAAAACCTCCTTCACTATATCACCCATGTTGTAGAGAAAGTGTATCCAAATCTTTTGCTGTTTTATGAAGACTTGACAATAGGAAAAGCATGCGAAGGTATTAATTATTATTATTATTATTAATTTTTGTATTTTATTGTATTTCAGTATCACTGGAAATGGTGAATTTAGACGTGGAGAATATAAAGCAAGGATTCAAGACATTAAAAGAAGAGCAAGAGTCCGATCCACAGAACTTCATAATATTCATATCCTCCTAGTACTTTAATATTGTAGCAAAATCATTTACTGTGTGTGTCACCTTAACTCACTTCCATACAGTTTTGTAAAACAGGTTTCATCCAAGGTTGAAGAACTTCTTGAAGAACATCAGAAAATGAAACATGCTTACACTGAAGTCTGCCGCATATTTAGCGAATTGCCAACAGAAGAACCAGCCAAATTTTTTGATTACTTTCGCAAATTCATAAACTCATGGAAGGTATCATCATTGCACTGCTTATGGTATTCAATGTCTTGTACTAGATGGCAATCAAAGACAATCACAAAAAGAATAAGAAGATGGCTCCTGCTAGCGGCCTTTTAAAGAAACCAAAGAATCCAGAAGAGCTCATGAGAGACCTTGCAACTGAAGCTGCCATTGTAGCAACAGCAAGAATGAACAAGACCTCAATACAAGAAGATGAGAGAGTGGCAGTCCCTGAGGAGAAAAGCAAACCAAAAGTAGAAAAGGAGAACAAAAAAGAACCTGCAAGTGAAAAACCAGTTAAAACAAGTTCGGTGAAGAAAGGAAGGGAAGCGAGTGCTGCTAGTGACCTATTGGAGGATGAGTATTACTCTACGATGGATGGAACAGTTTCATGGTGACAAATTAAAAAAAACATTTTGAATTCATTTTATCTGTTTGTATGTAGTTAACTAGTTATGTACATTAATTGATTCTGTAAATATGAAAAGTTTGATTTTAACTCTTGATTTGTGAATGTTTATCAGCAGCTGCTTCCAGTCTTTGAATTGAGAGATTTGTAAAATTTTCAAGGAGACTATGTACTTCATCGACCTTAGAAATTACAAATAAAACATAAAATTTAAGTTTTTTTTTCTAATACTTTTTCTGGTGTATCTGACAATGTTAGTTGCCCCGCTAGTCTTTCAAGCTCTCCAATATTACTATGTTTAATTGTTTTTCCAGTATTTAGACCTTCATCATCATCATCATCATTTTCAGCACGTAGAACTAAATATTCTCTCAACATGTCAACAATCTGAGAGAAAAAAAGAGGATACATGTATGAAAGAATCAAGATCACTAATGTACATTTTCAATTTGTCTTTTCTTATGTAGAGGAAATGGTGCAGTGCTTGGGGTCTTGTCTATTAGTCTTAATCTTGAGAGAGCCAGGTGAAATGGAGTATTACCTCTTCTATCAGCAGCCATCAAATCGGTTCCTACAAAAATATTTCATAAAGCAACATTAACAATAAAAATAATATATTTCTCTATCCCTTATGAGAAAGGGGCTGACCTGCTCTTAGTAAAGCTGTTATGGCTCCTACGTGACCTGCCGTACAGGCTATCGTAAAATAAATAAAATAACGACTTCCCGCCAAACCTATACACACTAACCCAAATGTAATGGAGTATTGCCAATGTCATCTTGTTTGTTGACACTAGCACCATGAGAAATGAGTATCTGCACTGGAGAACAACAGTTTCAGATCATAGTGTGAACGTTCACAGGCATACCTACTCCTATGTCACCCCGACAAGCTGCAAAGTGAAGAGGAGTCCGTCCCTTGCTGTCTGCTTCCCGTGGATCTGCCCCCTGCTTTAGCAGCTCGTACACATCATCATAGGATCCCTCGGAGACTATTTTAGGAAGCTTTCTAGTAGCTATTGTGAAAACTGAGTAAATGGAAAGAAGCATCACTCTTTCTCTCTACCTATTCGAGCCTTTCCAGTGTAGTCGATTGCAAAATGAGATCTGCTTCTATGAGTTGCTCCTTTCATTTTGGGTACATACAAAGGTGTAATGCTATGCTCTAGTCTTTTCAGTTCTTCATTGGGATCTCCACCAGCAGCCATATTGTTATATAGGTGGGGCTAGTTATTAAAAGTTAATTATAGACTACAAAAATAAAAATTTTAATTTGACTGCTGTAAACTGTTGCATGGATTGTAATCTTCTTCACAGTTTGGAGGGTCCTCTCTCCAAATCAGCTGCCAAGACTTGTACATTTTATAGATATGCATCCTAAGGAATTCTTCTGGTCTTTGACGTATGCTTATAGCCAGATCAAACAAATCCTCCTATTGTAATAAGAAGAGTACTCTTGGTAATAATGAAGTGAATATGCACATTATAAAGCAACAATGTTATACATGTGAGATAGAAGAAGCGACTTACGCCCATTTTAGTTGAAAACTGTGTAATCCAGCCTCCTTTAGGCCACAGTGGGTAGTTGTTTGCCTCAATGAACCAGATGTGCCAATCGTTTGATATCATGAAATCCAATCCCAGTAACTGAAACCCATTGATTATGTCATCACCATTCATAAGGCCAATACCTTATAAGAACAATAATAATATTAAAAAATTATAATCAGTGTGTCTGCTATAAGATCGTCTTACCAGATTTCACTATAAACTTGGCAACTTTCTTGATATAAGGTATCAAATGGGACAGGACATATTCATCATTCTCTGGATAATGAACGTCAAGGTAAGACTGGAGCTTTTTGAATGACCAGAAGTGATCATTCGGATCAAAGTTGGGCTCCTGAGACTGCACATGCGTGTTAGTCAAATGCACTTCTCTTCCTCCCGATTCATAAAACTGCTTCATTACCACACGTAGGTACCCTTCATGATAAAATAGCATGTACGGCCTAGAATTAGCAATTATGAATAGTGCCCTGATGTCAAATTTTCTTCCATTTAGTAGTATGATGTCACGAATGTATTCTTGCATAATGTATTGTCCATGGCTTGGGCATGAGTTGAACATGCGTTTGATTGCTGTTTTGTTTGACATGATAGTAACACCATCTCCTCCGTATCCCTGGGACTTTTTGAGAACCCACTCAGACAAGTCCCTGTTCAGTCTCATGTACTTAAAGAATGCTTTACATTCCTGAGCAAAATCCATCAAAAATGAAACGGGCATGAACTTTAGCTCATGAATGGAGCAATCATATCTCTTTAAATAGCGCTGGAAAGTAATGTGTTGTTCTCTCTTTGCCCCAGAAAATAGATAAGCATTGGGTAGAGCAGAAACTAGCACGTTTGTTCTATTTAACAACTTATTTATGTATGGATTAGATAACTCCTTTGACGACGTGAAGACAATTGAGAAGACATTCTTTCGTTGCAGCTGTGACTTTAATTCTTCTCTTGTGTGTATTGTCTTGCGTAGAGTCCAACCGTTCCTTTGACAAATATCAACAGCTATGGCCATTTTTGTTTTCTTGTAAAAGATAAATTGCACTCTTTTGTATTCGTCCAATGGCTTGTAGAGACTCATGGTGTAGGAGAGAGGGTAAGGATCATCACACTTTCCACTGTACACATAGCTCATGTGTCTCAAGGTATGGATATGTTCTCTGGAGCTGTAGTGGACTATAAATAAAATGGCAGACACAGTGAAGCCAATGGAGTAGAGTATGATGGCATTCCTCAGGGCAAGAAATGGAGACTTCATGCAAAGTTGCTGTCAGGCTGTTGTAACACCCCTCAAACTGGCCTCTGTCACCTTTATCTCTGAATCAGGATCATGTTTAATGTTCCATGTCTTTATCCTTCCCCTCCCATTTGACAAATACTTAAATTTTAACAAACTTTTAAAATGGCTACAATACAAAAAAATGTATGCATTTCTAATAGCCTGGACACAAGAATAATAATAATAATTAATAATAATAGGTACAGGAGATCTAAATCAAAGAAAATCACACTCTATTGTCTTAAAAGTAAAATGAAGAAAGTTTTATATAAGTTAAATGCATGGAAACTAAGAGTTGCTGGCCCTCTCTAGAAGCACTTGCGGTGAACAATGGATGGACCTGATTCATCATACTCCTGCTTGGAGATCCACATTTGTTGGAAGGTGGACAAAGAAGCCAAGATGGAACCTCCAATCCATACGCTGTACTTACGCTCAGGAGGAGCCTCAAGGACTTCTCAACCCCAACCAAAAAAG